CTTGGATGGGACTAAGTTGGAAACTATACGAGGTAAACAAACTCCATACAGTGAGATTAAAAATCTGTAGCTGCATCCATTATTCCATTGCTACTGCACAGCAAGAAATAATTATAACACGCATTACAACCATCTGAAATAGCTCTGTGGAACAGACCCTCTCAAACCTGACAGCTAAGTCCAGTGACGGCATCAAAACATGAAGGCAACAAAAGCACTTTGCAGCTGCACACTGACAGGTGAGGACAAAGACGGGTTTCCTCGACAGAACATTATATGAATGTTTTGTGGTCCCACCGCCCAATTACATCTGTTGATGAAAAATGTAGAATGCTACTGCATAAATGATATATTCTGCATGCCTCCGGCCATTGTCGAGCACCTGAACTGCTCCACCGGGGGCCTTTGACACTTCATTTCAGCGGGTAAATCGGCTTTCCTATTTGTACACAGGCACAGCCAATGATAAAAGGTGTAAGTTATTCCACTTTTACACGGTATGAATAAGAAAAAACACCTGTGTGTGCGTGTTTGACTTTATCAGTGGTTATATTTATTATATCCATAAATTACAAGACTACAGCCAAAAGTACGCTACTATGGCTCCAGAGCCCTCCTAACTGCTACTTATCCCATACAGATATTGACCCCGTGTGCTTAAAGAATACGGCAATTACTGCAATTCATCACCGACGGCCAAATACGTGTCTCTCTCTCTCTCTCTCTCACTCACTCACTCACTCGCACACGCACTCGCACACAAATACAGACGCGGTTCATCCTACCTGCCAGTGTTGAGGTGTGTCTGAAGGCTCGGACTTGAGAGTCTGATAGTCCGGTGAGAAGGGAGATGACTGTGTCCATCATGTACTCATCATAGATGATACTGTATTGACACTGGCGCACGAGCACCGAAATGAATTCACAAAAGCTTGATTTGAACTTTTTCCACTGGGGTCCTGCTATGGTTAGAGGGTAGTCACCACTGTCCTGCAGAGGCCACAAAGGGAAGAACGTCAGTAAACAAAATGACTTCACACAGCTGCTGTATGTTGCTATCTCCATCTTGCCTTTGGCAAATAAAATAATACTAAATGTGATGTTCAATCTCAGATTGCACATTAGAGATTCATGGTGACTATTGTTGTGGTTATACTGGAAAACATGAAGTTACCTCATCGAATTCCTCTGTCATTCGCCGGATGATCTCAGAGTTCTGCATGTTGCGGAACATTTCTCCACTGACCACACCTGATACACAGAGAGGGGTTAGACAGAAGACAACTTACTCAACGCTCAACTAGACCAACGCGGGGAGAAGGGAGTACCAAACATGTCTGAGTGGTGCTTTAGGTCACACAGATTCAACTGGTTTCCTCAATGCATTTAAAAAAAGGGAGTAAGATACCTAAAACAGACACGCATACCTTTACACCCCGAGCACTGGATGAAGAAATTGATGAGATCTAGTAGCGCAACGTCTCTGTCGTGTTTGTAAGACTCAATCCAGTCATCGACGACAGACTGCAGGAAACGAGGGACAGATTAGAACCATTCGTTATTTCATTTAACTGAAGATTTTTACAGTGTCAAATATCTCAAATGTCTTGCCATTCATACCTGCATTGCACTCTTGCCCAGCTTCACCACCTCAAACAGCATCATGTTCTCCATGCCATTCTCTTGGTGGTGGCCATTTATCCGGCCCGCTCCCTTTCCTCCTTTGCCTTTCTCCCCTGCTGCTTTCTTCCCCTTCTTTCCACCCTGGAACAGAATAAAAGAGCATAACGCATTGTGAAGAGTGAGCATCAGTGCAGAAAAGACAAGGCTAATTGAATGTGCTCTTTACACAAATATCTACAACTCATAGACGTAATAATGTGTTATTTGACCAGGGTGTCCTGATCCAGGCCAAGAGCCATTTGTGCTTTCAATACCTTTCCTTTCGCTGAGGTTGTACTCCTTCCATCGAGATCCTCAGAGAAGTCTGTGTCTGAAGAGAATCGGGTGTCTGTATCCCTGGGGGACACAAGCATAATATTAGAATGAAAATTCATATCAACCTCAACCTTTACAGAGAATTTAAAAAGTGGAAGAAAGCACTTACTGAGTAAAGGAGAACTCTGATGGTATTTCTGGTGCTGCTATCATTTCTGTAACATCTTCTGGATAACTTCAATTTATGACTGGCTTGAGATCCTCAGAAATTACAAGACAGGATAGGTGGCATGTGACCTAGAATACATATATATATATATATATATATATATATATATATATGACACAGAGTCATTTATTGAGATACACACACATGTATACTTATTCCTCATTTCAACACAGCAGAAACAATAAATGCTATAATAAGCAAACATCTACACGTTAGCAGATCCTCTGTAGTGAGCAAATGTTTCTTTGATGCCTTTGAGAGAAAAAAGAAAAAAAGAAAAACGGTTTCACATGGTAACAGTGGGCGTGCACTAATGCTCCTGTCACGCTCTGCTGTGCGGCCATTGGCTCCCTCTCTTTCCCTGTTCCCCTTGGCTTACAGACGTCACGCAAGGACCATTGGAGTGTCTTCCGCAATGGCCAAATATGGCACTGCCCTATCCGCCCATACATATCTCAACCAATCAAAAGACAGTATCAACATCAACAAGATACTGCAGGCCACAGAAAAAAAAACTATTGCATGGTTGTGATGTGTAAATCGGTGGCACATACATCAAAAAAGAGAGCAGAGGTAACACTCAAAACTAGGATTCTGACATTGTCCATAGCTCAGAAACGCAAAAGCCTTTTGGGAGTCAAGGAAGACAATAAAAGCACCTCAGAGAAATCTGCTTAGTCCTGAAAAGCTCAACTTTACCGCTACCCATCATATAGCCACTCTGGATGCGTCTTTCTGTCCTCACACACTCAGTGATGACATACAGAGTGTGTCAATCGTATTCTTAAATAATAACAGCGTTATAGTGGCGTTTATGAGTAAGCGAGAAGACTTTCAATGAGATTGTCAGATATAAAAATCAGATGTAATATCAGTCACGGGATTCCCTTTCACAACATCATGCACACGATGGCCCACACATGCCACATTGGGGATCTCATCACGCACATTTTATGTATATATAGCGATCTAAGTAAAATCCCCCTCACAGTCAACGTAGACTCATGAAACAGCACTATGTGTGAGGAAGCTACGACTTTGTGAGTTTTAATTTAACTGCGATATTTCTTGATTTACGAGCGTGTGAAAGCGCTTATTTCCTTGATAGTGAGAGGAGATACTGCGTACCAACACGACGGGATTCTATGGGTGTAGACTGAAAAAGTGGCGCCAAATTGGTCAGTGTATCTCATAAACGTGTTACTGCAAAGCGAGACTAGATGATCCGAGATTAAAAAACGGAACTGTGAAACCCAACAGTGCACGTTTCTGCAATTCAGCGATGCACAATCTACCCGCTCAGTTCCCTCCAACCACGCCGACACGGCTGCGCTCTTCGTCGGCTCCTGTCAAAATTGACACCGGTGCGTTGCTAGTTGCTAGCGCCGCTAGCTGAGCAGCTAAGAGGGTTTTGGCGTTCTTTTCACGAGCGTCGGCTAGTTGAAATGTGATCGAGTAAGCGTGCTGTGCTCAGTGCGAACAAGCTGTGATTTACCGATAGACGTGTGCCGTGCATTTTCGTTGGATATCGAGAACGTTCAAGTGTTTTCCAGCTCTATCGTACTTGGACCATAATAACAAAACAACGCAAGCCCTACTGTACTAGCGCATGCTAACATAGGCTAGTACACAATGACGCTAGTCTGCAATGTTTCCGAGGACAATGACCGCTTTCTGACAACAAACCAGTCGAACCCAGTGCTTGTCCGAAGATAAAGCGAATAATCCTAACATATAACGCTATGCTGCAATCAAGGAGCTGATAATAACTACGACTAGTTAGCTATGCTAACAGCTACTGCTAACGTTACCTAAAAAAACATCACGTCCTTGCGTCCTCCATCTTGCCTCGGGAGTTCCAGTGCCGTATTGCATAAGCAACAAACACTTTGTTTACAAATATATAAAGTGCAAATAAGTTGCTTGAAACAATAAAACGCTTCCTTGGCCTACAAACTAAATATTTTTGCGTCACTGTGCCAAAAAACCTAGGTCGTTAGCTTGCTAACAACCGAAGTAGCCATGTACCGCGAGCTAGCGAAGCGACTTGGTTCAGGCAGGCATCCGCGCGCAGGGCTCCTCGAGAGCTAGCCTGAGCTAGCGAGACGGCTAGCAAAATACAAATCAACTAACTTCCAGATAGCTCTCCGCCATTTTACAGCTAACTTACCTTGTTGTAAAATGCAGTCCCGGCAGAACCGTAACTTTTACTATTCTTATACAGCTTCCGTCTGAATCCCACCACAATTCTGTAAAAAGAGTTTAAAAGTCGCGGTCAGAGGCGGTTTCGGACGTTCTCTCACCCCGCTTGCTCCGTAGTTCGGTTTGTTGTTTCGACGACCTGGGAGGAGGAAATCCTGGTGCAGAGCTACCACCTAGCGGCCACAATGCCCGCATTAGATACACAGTTGACGAGCTTCCATCTAGTGGTCACTGACGAACACTACACCTTAAGAATGGCGCTTCTGAACTGTGTTTCGTCTCCTCTGCTCTCACTTACAAGCTGCAAGTCTGAACTATTTTTGGTAAAATACTGACTTAAATCTATCTCGATCCCATTCAAGTTGAAGGGGAAAAATAAAAGATAATTTCTATTGTGAGATAACCTGTCACTACTATGAATGACTGACTCCCTTTTGTGACACAGGGAGTTTGATTTATCCTTGTATATTTTGATTTGGCCCCCTTAGACCATATCTATCTAGGGTGAAATATGCAGAGAATTCATCTAAATATTGCTGTTCCACAGCAGAGAAAAGTGTTTCCAGCTGATACGTTATATAGTGAGTAAAACTGAGCTAACTCTTAAGGACAATTCAGCCTACCATTCTAACAAAGGTATGTAAACCCTTTGTAAGTGAGGCACAAGGTTGATCTGGTCTCCTTTTTGTAGTTAGACTTTGCAGTGTAGTAATAATCAAAGAAAAACATTTTTCCACATCCAAAAGTTACAATTTATTCACTCTTTATGACATGACAGATTGCATGATGGAATGGTAAAATCATTTCACACAAAATTGATTAACTGCAGCCTATGATTGTCAGCACTACATTAGAGCTGATTTAGTCAGTTATAAAGAATTATTAAATGGGTTAATGATCTACATTTACATATCGCAATAAGGAGCAGCACATTTTGAGAAAATTGAGTCCATAAAATACATGAGTGAGACACACAAGTGTATGAAACCAACTGATATCACATCCCATGTCAAGATCAGTTGCCACTGCCGAAAATGTCCAAAATAAAACAAAATGACACAAGTACATGAACCAGGAAAAAGGCACCTCTGGCAGGAAAGTGTTGCAAAATGGTAATTAATCTTAAATGTGAATTTACAACTTTCAGTACCCATTAAAAGGCCAATTATAAAAAATCAAAATCAGCTATTTATAATACCATCCCATCTTATATTAACACCTATTTACAACCTCAGTGAGTGTGAAAATATTGTTGTCTTGTGACGATTACTCATTCTTTCACTCTCATTTACATACAAACATTATCCTTAAATATATCACAGGCTATCGACATTTTTTATTAAAATACAATATTATAAAGACGGTGAGAAAGCAGCATTGACGTTTGGCCAGAGTCTGAGATTCCCTTAGGCGATATAGGTCTGGATCTTCTGTGTTATGGCTCCGCAGCAGATTGGACACTTGACGAGCGACTCTGAACACTTCTTGCAGGTGACCAGATGTCCACACGGGATGAAGACGATGCCAATATCTCTGTCCATACATATTTTGCACTGTTTCTCCCTCTGCAGCTCCCGCAGTTTCTCCAGCGGGTCCACATCTGGAAGGAGAAAAGATCAAAATGTGTAAACTCATATTTAAATCACTGCTGCTGCTCAGGCTTTGCGTTTATGTCGTCAATAACACCATGAACCTGGTTCAGCATACAGCGGGTACAGTACCTTGGTCCTGTGAGTTGGCAGCATCACGTTGTAGTGTATCCTTAAGACAATCCTCCATAAGTTCTTCCACGGTGGAGTAGCCTGAGCCCGTCTTGCCAATTTTCTCCAAGATGGTCTTTTCCACCACACCGGGCTCCAGACCCATCCCAATGGTCGTCTGAGCCACGGCAGACTGCAGCACCTCTGAACACAGAGAGGAAACGTCATCGGACACAGCTACTGGTTTTATCAGTTACCCGGAATACCAAATGTATACAGTACGTCTTGTCTTTCTCTTGAAGTACAGTAGATGTTTTGAATTATTCCTAAATTCTTATAAAAGGGGAGTAAAATTTTTAAAAAAAAGTTGATGTTTACCATTCCCATGTCCAGAAAATCCATTCTGATGACTTGAAGCCTGAAAACAAACATGCTAATAGTTATTTTTGGAATAATGCGAGTAAAAGAAAAGCCTCAGTGACAACATCTTTGATTACAAACTGTCCACATAGCCAAAGCTCGTATACTTGTCCAGAGAACAACAAACATTACAGTAGTAAGTACCATTTAAATATCGTCAGCATGCATTCTTTCTCAATTTGTTCAACCACCCAAAAAAATCCCCACATGTGCCCACAGGACTGTGAGCATCACTGCAGTTAACGGATACGTTAACATTTCTAAAGTGTGCCTTAAAACAACGTCTACACTTCCATATGTACGTGGGCTTATTGGTTGTCCATTCTGGCTGCAAAGAAACCCCCTCTTAAAGGGATTTTAATGTAAGAGATCGGGGACAAAAATCTGTCCTTGTCCTTGAAATGTATTCAAAAGCTCAACTGAAGCCGACACAAGGGTATCTTTGAGTTACTCTCTTTAAGAGTTACTTTCTTTCTCTTTTAGTACAGAACTCGCTCCTCTGTGCTCCAACGGACAATGTGTCCTTGCTGAGCCACGGCACGGCAGAGGGATAGTAACACATAAACATTTGGTACTTAAAGAGCACCATTCTGAGTAGTAATATTTCCTTTTATCCTAACACACTGCTGTCACAGCAATAGTTTCGCTGTGCAGGTTCGTTATCATGCAGTCCGGTTAAGCATATCATTGGCCAGGAATTCAGGCGTTCACCAGGTTTCTCTAAGTCCTGATCCTGATTAAGGAAACACAGTCTCTTGTTTACATTACAAAATCAAAGAAACTCAACAGCAACCCCGTTACTTAAATGCACGTAAAAGCACCGGATGCTTACAGCTCGATTTCGTCGTGGGTCTTGTAGCTGGATACTGTTGACAAATTCTTGTCCTTTTTCTGCTAACAGGAAGCTGCATCTGATAAAAAAAAAGACCAAACAAATATAATTATATTATAACACAATCAAATGCCGCAGCAAAATGACAGCAAATGTGTGTATATATACATGCATGTTAAGAAAGGGGACCATCATGGCTGTTCTCACCCAGGGTAGTGTTTGGCATGTTCCTCCCACGGGTCTTCTTCAGGCTGCCAGCCTTTCAGGCCTCCGCCACAGCGGAAACACAACACCCCGTCTCCTCCGGTCCCTGCATGGCCACGCACACACACAATTCAATCTTGCTTGCACTCATAGCTTTGAGAAAACATTTAATCACTCAAAGGCGTCTGTTTTGTACCTGCGCTGTAGAAGCCAGCTCTGGCGAGCCTCTCGTGGTCAATGGGATGCAAGACGCCCGCTAAGCTGCCAAGCCTCTCCTCCAAACTCCCCATAGGGACACGAGCGTTTGCATGCCGTCTGCTGCCGCTCTCCTCCTCCTCCGTGCCCCCCTGGGATGGGATGTTGCCCACATCGTGACCGAGGATGAAGAAGCAGTTGGGGAAATGTTTGGTGTGCTCTTCCCAGGCGGTGTCCCCTGCTTCCCAACCAGCCAGCATGCCCCCACAGCAGAAACACTGCACCCGGTCGCCCCCCCCGAGGTAGTAGAGGCCGGCTTGGGCCAGATCTCGGGCTCTCACAGGAGCAGCAGAGGGCCAAGCAGAGAGGGTCTGAAGCCGGGCCTCCTCGCTCTTCATGTGTGGGGCCATTGGGTAGGTGGACTCATCGACCACCTCTCCTCTTCTCAAACGATATTCCATGTCTTCTGCTTCTTCGTTGTATGGGGAACCGTTGGTCAGTCTGTTTTCACAACTCAGGTTGAAATTGGTGCGGTGGATGCAGCTCAGAAACCTGCATGATGGGGAAACCTGGAATAAAGGGGCAGGAAGTCCAATTTAACAACTTAGAACAGGAAGAAATTAAGAAAAAAGTTGATCCCATGTGACTTTCATTTTTATTCCAACTACCTCTTTATGTCTCTCCACAGGCATGTCTCCCCTGCACCAGTTTTCCACAGTCTCCCGGCAGCTGAAACAGCGGACACGATCGGCATTGCCGGTGAAGTAGAAGCCGGCCCGGGCCAAGTGTTCTGCTGGTACCTGCTGGGCCAGACTGGAGCCACGGAATGAGTCCAGGCGACTGTTTATCTGGGAAAAATCAATCATGTGATCTAACTCCAAATCGTCTTCTTCCCTGAGATCACACATGACGGAACCAGGCAGGAAACTGCTGAGTGGAACTTGATGGACAGAATGACTGCAGACAAAACAGAAAGAAAACAAATATGCTGTATGAATTAGGAGCATATACATTTTGAAGTAAAGCACCTCTTGCTTGTTGGAAAAGTATTAACAAAGCAGCTAACGGCCTAAGATACACATGATCGACATACATTACATTTCCCCCCACAAGGTTGGAAAGTAGTCAATTTAAAAATTGGACAATTCTGAAGTCTAAGAGATTTCTGTCTCTCACCGGAAAGCCGATCGGCACATTTAGGCTCTCTCAGGATCGCTGTCCCTTTAAGAGAAGCAGCCAGCCTGGAATCACATGGAGGCGTTGGATATTCCATGTGAGGGATGGGCACCACAGACTCAGGGCTGTCTACTGGCTCAGCGCACTGCAATACACGAGTACTGCAAAAGGTGTATCCCTTTGCGGCCCAACAACTAGCACTAGGCCGTAGGACAACCACAAATAACTCCACTTTAAGCATGATATCGGACAGTCTGTATGTAAGTAATACAATTAAAAAGATCATCTTTATGGAGGTGTGGCATCGTAAGCAAAGGTACACAGTATGTGTTAGTTACAAGTCAAATGATGTTGCAACACATCCTAGGAAGCATACCACACCCCCACTTATTATACATAGTTATTTAATGTTGTCACCACTGCTTTGCTGTCACATAGCTTTTTGGTTTTCTTTTTTTGGGAAGTAAATGTGTAGCATTCTCAACTGTATATTGTACTGAACGTCTACCATATGTAGACTCAAGCCCAAGTAGCGCGAGCACTGTAATGTACTGAGAAATATGCATTTGTTTTCCCAGCAGCTGTATTTAAACATTACATTTAAATGCCAGTGCAGAAAGTAACTTACCTTGTGACCACACTATCAGTACTGATGGAGCAGCTATTGATCTACTCAATCTAAGATTGGATATCTGCTTATTTGGTTTGAGCAGCTTCTGAACTTTGTTCCGTGTCGACATCCTTTCGAGACAAATAGTCACCAGATCAACAGCAAGGTTGATCTGGTGACTATTACGTTATATATTAGTGTTTTATGTACAAACGCAACAGAGTAGCCACCTAGCTCCTATTTTAACATATATTATTGCTTAGATCATAACGAATGTCCCCGCAAATGCCAGGAAGGCCTCGCAGCTTTGCGTTAAACAATAGCAATGCAGCAGTCCCATAGTCTCGGGAGGTAAACACAGAATAAAGCTGCTGCTTGCATCTGACATCTGACAGCTGACAGCTGACACACACACACACACACACACACACACACACACACACACACACACA